AAACATGTAGTTAGTCTGATGAAAATTCTAGTTATAAACTTATTGCAGTGATTCGTACATTTATATTTTACAGAAAGTCATGTATAGTAGAAATATTAATTCAGTTTCTAGTGCTTTCAATCGCTTTCCCTTAGTTAGGTCCTCTTTTTGTTTATGTATACAGGGTGGCCCACCACTCACTGACAACTTAAATAACTTTTGATCCAGTTAATATTTTTAGCTGATTTTTTTTTTTAAATAATAGTTATACGTTAGGTCTATAGCTATATTTCAATAATTAATTTTTTTACATTTTATTAAAAATATTAATTATTTTTAAATTTTAAATAAAATGTAAAAAAAAAATCTAAGATAGCTATTTTGTAGAGTAGAATTTAAGAAAAATTTTAGTAACAAAATATCTTATTAATATTTAATAGTAAATATTCTGTAGCGTTTTGAAGTTTGTGAAAATTTGAATTTTCATGTATTATTTTACGGTATTAAACATTGAAATACGTATTGAGAAAAGGAAAGATGAATGAGAGTGATAAGTAATAATTGCCTTATCTAATTTCTTATCTAGGTATTAATGCCAAGTTTGTAATGTATACATATTATCATCATATGCATACACAATAATCATGAAAAGATAGCGTTTTCTTCTGTCCTTTTCTCAATACGTATATCAATGTTTAATACCGTAAAGTAATACATGAAAATTCAAATTTTCACAAACTTCAAAACGCTACAGAATATTTACTATTGAATATTAATATGATATTTTTTTACTAAAATGTTTCTTAAATTCTACTCTACAAAATAGCTATCTTAGATTTTTTTTTTACATTTTANTGAATATTAATAAGATATTTTTTTACTAAAATTTTTCTTAAATTCTACTCTACAAAATAGCTATCTTAGATTTTTTTTTTACATTTTATTTAAAATTTAAAAATAATTAATATTTTTAATAAAATGTAAAAAAATTAATTATTGAGATATAGCTATAGACCTAACGTATAACTATTATTTAAAAAAAAAAATCAGCTAAAAATATTAACCGGATCAAAAGTTATTTAAGTTGTCAGTGAGTGGTGGGCCACCCTGTATATAAACTTGGTGTATTTCTTCAAATGCTTTCATTGAGCCATGTCAGTGTCAACGCAATTCCAATTATAGCTTAAAATAGTTTTTACTAGTTTATTAATTTATAGGGGTATCAAATAGTTTTGTTCAAATAACAATATACATACTTTACTAGATTATAAAATAATAAATGATCTAATTAAATTTGAGGAATAAATGGGTCGATAAAAACTTTTAAATTTGTAACTAGGAAGTTATTAAAATTTTTATATTAGGACGGGAAGAGAATAAAGCTAAAAAAATGTTTACTGTTATTAGTAGTCACACCCAAGCCTCTCTCTAAAATATATAAATATTCCATTCTTCATATTTTTGATATTATTTATTGTTTTGTAATCTAGTTAAGGATTTATATTACCATTTGAAATCAAGATTATACCATATTAATTATAAGAGTTAATGAACAGTAATTAGTGGCTGATAAATCAAAAATATATGTTATTCAAAAGAATTAAACATTTTTTTTCGTTTTTTATTTTTCGAGTAATTGAATAATTTATATTAAACACCTTAAGTTTAAAGGTTTACCTAAAATATTTCTTTGTAGAATTCGATCAATTTAAATGATTATTCATTTCATTATAATGTTCTAAACGAAAATTTTGATGCGATTTGTTCGAAGATTACATAACATTGTATAAATATATAATGATTAATATATTATTGGCCACTAGTTTTCTTCTAAAATAAAAAAAAACAGCAGACATTTTTTTATTCGTATTCTCTCAATTTATAAGTAGTTAAATACTTTTTAGGTCCTTATAACTTATAAGAGTAACAACTTAATTGTGTTAAATTTCAATATATATATATTTAGACAATTCATATAATATAAAATTATAAAAATAATAAAAGAATTGATCGATAACAACTTTTTAACCAGTAGTTCAAGATTTTTTAATATTTATAAACCTAGGTGATAAGATTAGTATAGTAGAGTAATGCAAAAAGATTGAAATAACAAAAACCGTTCTTACCTCCAATCTAGATTTAACAATATTAATAACTTTAGAAACACTGGTTCAATAGCTTTTGTTTTCCTAATTATATTTCTTAAGTTATACAAACTAGTAAGAAATATATGTCACGATTTTCATAATTAAATCTTATATCTTTATGTGGGATATATAACGAACTTAAAAAATAACCATCTAAAAATTGAAAATCAAATAAATCTGAAAATATAAATATTTTAAAAAAATGTTCAAAATTTGACTATTTAGAAGAAATTAGCTTCGATACGAAGCTCAGTAGGTATTTTAAATAAATTTCTATACTTTTTGACTACAATAATAATTAAATTGAAGTTGAGACATTATTTAGATTGATATCGGTTGGTATTTCATTGTGATTAAAATTATTGTCGTAAAACGCTTCGATGAGTATTTAAAACATTGTTTTAAAAATGTAACATACCCATCACAAATAACATGGTTTTTTATTTTAGAGGTTTATTACAGAGGATAAATTATGAGACATTTTTCTTTTTACATATCCATTACATTATATATAACTTTAATATTTGTTATAGAGAAAAGTGTAGAAAATAACGCTAAATAATGGTCATAAATACGAATTTTTTCATAATTTTTTATGTAGCTGAACCAGTGCTTAATAGCAATGAATAAAAACCTAGCAATATTATTATCTATTTTGTAATAAGATCTCTTTGGTATTATTTTATCATAGTTTAAAATAAATAGTAGATGTTGAGAAATTCACAAACTTTAAAATGCTCTGGAAATTTATCTACAAAACATTAATAAGATATTTTGCGACTCAATTTTTGCTTAAATTTCGTAAAAATAACTTTAAAAAATACTGCAAAATAGTCACTGTTTCAAAAGTAGTAAGATTTTTCAATTACTACAAAACTCCCCTTTGTAACAAAACTTGCACCAACATTTTTGCTCAGTAAAATAATTTAATTAATAATTAAAAAAAAAAATAATTGAATAACAAATTAAATTGATAGAACCAGATAATAAAAGATCTTAGGTCAGCTTTCATAATAATGACGTACAATTAAATGTAGGTAAAGAATATATAAATGTAAATGATATAGTTTTATTATTTTTACTTAATAATATTACAACAATAAATTGATCGTAATGATTTTAATCACAACATAATTAATAATCTTAATGACTATAAATAAATTATTTATAGAATACACAATAAATTAAATAGATTGTTAGTCATAGATTACTTATTTGTTTTATTTTACTACCTTTTCAGATTAATTTTTTCGTGCAATATAAATTCCGATCATTATTATTTTTAATTGTCTTGGTATTGTTAATTGTCTAGTATTATCATCTAAAAGTATAGTGTAACCTTTAAAATAATCAAAATCATACCCAACAATAGTAAAAAAATATATTATATAACTTATTTTGTTATATTTGATATTAGTTAATTTTTATATTAATTATATGGATTTAGACTTCTTCTAATCATCAATAATTATTATATTATTCCTATAATATTAAAATAGAATTAATATTTGAATAAAACAGGGAAAAAACCAAAAAAGATCCATTTTTTTCAATTTTTATTTTATGTTTTGATCAATAGCAGTATTATCAAGTAATGAAGTTAATTGGGAAAAAATTATTTTCACCTTATTAATAATAAAACGTTTATTTTTGATTTCTTATTATAGGGACAGGAATTTATAAAATTCACATTTTATTTTTCAAAAATTAATAATTTAACTTAACTTAAAAAATATTTTAAAGTAAATCTTAAATTACATAATATAAGTTAAAAAAATGTTCTAGCTAACCAATGACATGTGGTAAACTACATTCTCAATTGAATAATTGAAATAATAATAAGCTAACGAAAGTTAGAATAATCAAATTAAGAAAGCTAACATTTCTTTATTTTTTGATAAATAATTTTGATACACAATTACCATAAAGGAACAAAATACAACTATATATATACAACTACGTTGAGTTAAGTAAATATTTGGACATTATCTAGAAAATTAATTTCCCTCTCGAATTGCTATAGTCTTAGATCTTCAAGTATGATTAACACCATATGAAAAATTTTTGAAAAAGCGAATAAACCATATTGTAAAACGATAACATTTTGTCAGACAAATTATTTTTTTTTGACGATGCCTGAATATTACTTAACTCAGTTATGTTTTTACAATTTTTTAATAATTACTCTTAGAAACTACAATACTAAATGATTATACATTAATTTCATACTAAATATAATTATGTAACATAAAACTTTTAATCGGGATATAATTAAAATATAGGATGTTTCTTTAAGAATAATACAACAATTAATTTTAACAATAAAATCATTTTTATTTTTAGTTTATGTATTTTTTTGTAATTACTTTCTTAGTCTTTTTAATTGACTTCTATGTAACAACTAAGAAAATAAATTATATACAATTTAATGAAGGTAATTTATAAAAATGTAGTAGAAGTCTTATCGTAAATAAGTCACCTCTATAGATTTCTTATTTCGAAATATTAAGAGTACTCCTCCGATTTTTTTACAATAAGTTTATCAAACCTCTTACAATATTTGTTCATAAATTTAAGAAATGTTTTATTCTGATTTATAATTTTTTTGGCTTTTTAGTAACTATTATAAATTAAATTACCTACAAGACACAATAATTTTAATATGTATAATTAGTATTATATAACATTTCACGTTTTGAAAACTGAGACTTTTCGTTTTCTCAAGTATTTTCTATTAACAGTATTATTTAGTAATAAAACATAAATACATTAATATTTTAGAGTGAGAGGAAGAGATGGGAAAATGGTGATATCTTTCCTCTCCTTCTCAGACTTCGACCCTATAAACGTTTGTAGCCTTGCGCGCTCACATACATTACATACACTCTCCAAAGACTGGACGACTGTTTTGGTTTTGCCATTTATTCAGTGCCACGCGCTCTAGTCCGTCAAACGTTCTAGTAGTAATCGGTCTCTCACAATAAACAACAGTCAAACTATCAAAATATTAGCAACTTAGCCCATAAACTTAATATATTTTCAATAAATAATAACTAATTTTAAATAATTTCACAAAAATATGTCAGCTACGGTGGCAAATGGTAATGGAGTGGTTAATGATGTATCGGCTTTAAAGAAGGGTAAACCACCAGCATTGAAAAAACTTCCTTCTTGGAAAGAAGACAATGATTTTGATGCGTCTGGCAATCCCAAAACGCCAAGAACTTCAACTACGCCTGGTAATTATTAAGTTCCTAATGCTACACCAATTTTACTCTAATATTAAATATCGGATTTTGAAAAATACATTTCATTCATTTAATTGAAATTGTACATTGAAGGACATGAAAACTGTACATTTCATCACGATTTGGAATTGGATCACAAGCCACCAACTCGCGAAGCTCTTTTGCCTGACATGACTGACTCGTATAAAATGCTACTGAGTGCTTTAGGTGAGAATCCAGAACGACAAGGTTTACTGAAGACTCCAGAAAGAGCTGCAAAAGCAATGTTATTTTTTACCAAAGGCTACGATCAAACTCTTTCAGGTACTCCAAAACTACTTTTATATAAATTTTCAAACTTTATTTTGGATTCTATTTATTTAAATACGCAAATTAACACACTTTAGCGTGTACGAAAACAAAAATTATTTTTATTAATACTCATAATATTCCTGGATACCCATTACACAACTTGAAATAATAATAATATAATTTATGAAGTATTCTAGTTAAACGGCTTTGTCTATTACAAATACAAGCCAAACAATCTTGGCACTGTTTGTTTACAATCTTTACATGCTATAGTAGTCACCATAGTGGTTTGCCGTGGTATCAAGGGCTTTAGCTAATATCTAAGTGATATCATCGAAAAGTCACTTGACCCCTGGCCGTATTTAACACATTTTCCGTTGAATAAGTACGAAACATAATACTACAATAATGTCTAGTCTATAACAAAATCTAATAGAGTCATATTAATACTACTATTTATACGACCTTGATAGCATACCAGCTATCATCAAAAAGCATTTCTCATTTGATCTTATTACACAAGCACCTGTGATTTTAAAAGCGTTTCCAGTAATTGAATTTACTCGTCTTAGATAAACGTCCGGATCCACAGTGTGTCAGCAAAAAGGTTTCCACTGATGAATAATACATAAACCAGCGGCGTTTTTATTTTCTCAGTTAAACATTTACCGTTTATCACGTATGAGATGTGAATAGATCTATCTGCAAGAAGATTACTATTGAAAACGTGGTTTTTAAGTGCAATACCGTGTAATTCGGTAATCCGACTGACGTGGTCAAGTGAGAGTATATGAGTAAGGTACAAGGCCATATATTATTATAAGCTCACACGTTGTTATTATGACATTATTACCATCAAAATGATGTGTGACATCGCAAATTACTTTTATTATAGATTGGCAAGTGTTAAGTTGACCAGACAGTAATTTTCATTAACCTTAAGGTGATAATTAAGCATTAATTAATTACCAATCAGCTCTATAAATTTTAAACTGAAATAGAATTCAATATAAAAATTGTTAATTAGTTTTGTTTCTCCAAAAAATATTAAAAGGCTTAAAATGGAATTTAATTCGACCAAAACGTTAAATGCTATGATACAATAGTTAAATGCTAAACAATGTAGCTTATTATTGTCCTCCTTGTTTTTTCTTTGATTACTTCATAAGTGAAAGGTTAAATCGATCAGTCATACTACGGTTAAATCATCACATAACTCAAACAGGCAACTTTATACACAAATGAAATTTTCACATAGAAATATGGCAAAAATTTGAGTATATGTACATTGACACAAATAAAAATAAAAATTAACTTTGACTTTATAAATAAAAAATATCAAAATGTTTACTATGATACAACAAATATACATATTTTTAGTTATTTCAACTAAAAAAATGAAATAAGTAAAATTCGACATTATAATGAAGGACAGGGTTTAGTTTTATGTACTTAACAACTGCATATGATAATCATAATTGAATTATACTTGATATAGCTATTGACTAAGATACTCTTTGAAAGTAAATAAATTAGGTGCAACTTGATTAAACTCACATTCAATAGAAATGCTTATTCTATTGAAATTACATTGTAAGATGATTTCACGCCTAAAACTAATTTAATAATTAATATTCTGTTCGCCTTTGTGTATATTTTACAAAAAGAAAATAAAACATTTTCAAGAAGATTGAATATTTTCGTTTACTTTCATCAAATATTTCTACAATTAGGATAATATAATTGTGTTACCTTCTTAATAATAAGTATAAATAATTATCACTTTTCACAAATTATAACAAATACTATATTCAAGAAAATGTTTATTTGAGATTCACTTTTAGTTCTTCATCAAAAATACTTATTTCAATTGTTATTAGTTTTTTTTTTTAGCTACAAATAATTACTTATGGAATACAATGTAGTTCATTAAGAATAAAATCTCCCATCTATTATTTGAAAAAATAATTTTTTCATAAAAATATTTACTGAGTGATCCGTGAATCATAAACCATCTAATTACTCATAAAATAATATTTATTTTTTATTTTTTAATTGCACAAAATCCATTCTCTTAATACTGTGTATTTATTTTGGTTCATCCCTTATGCGTTATAAAANTTTTTTTTTTAGCTACAAATAATTACTTATGGAATACAATGTAGTTCATTAAGAATAAAATCTCCCATCTATTATTTGAAAAATAATTATTTAATATAAAGTTATTAGTAATNCATAAACCATCTAATTACTCATAAAATAATATTTATTTTTTATTTTTTAATTGCACAAAATCCATTCTCTTAATACTGTGTATTTATTTTGGTTCATCCCTTATGCGTTATAAAAGTATCAATTGTTTTTTTAATAAAAACATACATATTTAACTACCTTAGAACTTAAAAAATAATTTAATTATGAAAATGACTCAATAACAACTTTAGACAAGTATTTTAGNCCATCTATTATTTGAAAAATAATTATTTAATATAAAGTTATTAGTAATTTAAAGTAATTAATAACTAGAGGTAAAGAGTAGGTGCTGCTATTTTTATCTCTAAACATTTCTTGGTCTCATTCTTCCACGTGCCAATGTATAGAAATGTTAATAACTTCTGAAATACTGGTCTAAAGTTGTTATTGAGTCATTTTCATAATTAAATTATTTTTTAAGTTCTAAGGTAGTTAAATATGTATGTTTTTATTAAAAAAACAATTGATACTTTTATAACGCATAAGGGATGAACCAAAATAAATACACAGTATTAAGAGAATGGATTTTGTGCAATTAAAAAATAAAAAATAAATATTATTTTATGAGTAATTAGATGGTTTATGATTCACGGATCACTCAGTAAATATTTTTATGAAAAAATTATTTTTTCAAATAATAGATGGGAGATTTTATTCTTAATGAACTACATTGTATTCCATAAGTAATTATTTGTAGCTAAAAAAAAAAAGGTAGTTAAATATGTATGTTTTTATTAAAAAAAACAGTTGATACTTCTATAATGCATAAGGGATGACCTAAAGAGTACTTAATTATGGATACGTCAAAAATTAAATTTAGCTGAAAAATACAAAAATCAAATTATTAAAATGGTTATTATTTTACGAATAGTCAAGTGGTTCATGATTCACGGATTATTTTGTAGATTAAAATTTTATTAACTTATATAAACCATTGTAAATATTAAGTTTATTATAAGAAAAAATTATACTTTCAGGGTAAATTTGTAGTCAAATATGAATATAATATTATTTGTTACTATGAAATAGAGAATGGTTTAAATAAAATTCTGACTGATCAATAACCAGAATTGTATCCCTACATTTTGAATTTTTATAATTTTTAATTAAGGCGAGCGAGTTGCACAACATAGAATAATTATTATCTGTCCATTGTGGTAAATATAAAGTAATCACTAAATTGCTTCTTACCTTTTCTAAATTTTTATATGATAATTTCTCAAAAACGAATAATACAAAACTTGTTTCTGATCTGTCAACATTTTATTTAGACCATTCTACATTTAATAAAAATACATAATAATCGGGTCACATTTAACTAACGAAAGTTATCCCTAAAATCGACCTTTAGAAATAATTTTTTATAAAAATAAATTTGATATAATAATGGTTTATAAAGATTATTTTAATTTTACTCTATTCATTTATATAAAATATTTAACGAAAAATTGCGGGTACCTATTATTACCTATTATTAAGTAATAATCATTCTGTATATAAAACAAAACAAAAAATAGGTTAATTAAAGCCAACGCAATAAATTCTAACAAAGCAATCAATGTCATCTTGAAAAAAGATTCTTCCTTTAGAAACTTATTCTTATGAAAAATTTTCTATAATTAATTAATTTATTAGTTAATTATCTATAGATTAAAATAGATGTCAATATTTTTTTACCTACTATACTGTCATGCTCAGTTTGAAAATATACAAATGATATTGTTTTATTATTTTAACTATGTCATTTTAAGTATGATTTTCAAAACGATTTAAAACAAGGAAATTTTTTTTCTAATACTGTTTTCTGTGTAATACTGAGATAAAAGGCTTAATTTTGTATAATTTCTTTTTTTTTGTGTTACTTAATATATCTATTCAAGTGATATACAACGTATCTCAAGAATAACAGTAACTTGCAGTTTGAGTTAGGTTATTAAACTACTTTTTCACAAAGAAATCGACTTAGAAGTTCCGGATACAAATATTATAGAAATATTTTATACTTTATACTTTCTAAAGTTTGCAACTTGTACATTTTTCCGATTATAATTCCATATAAAAATATGTCTATATTTGCTTCATGGAAAACTTAAAAAATAGTGTTGACACGTTTTTGCACGGACATTTTTTATTGTTTTATTTTATTTTACATTTATACTTAATGTTAGTCAAATAAATTCATTACACAAATTATAATTTAAAAAAACTATCAAAAATTAGTTCATAATTATTTTAATATTTCGAATAGAATTAATTTTTTTTATATTAACTCAATTGGTTTAACATAAAAAGAAAGATACTTCGAATATTCACATTTTGTAGTGATAGTTAATTTTCCCAATTTTAGAATTGTATTCACCCTAATCTAATTAATATGTATCATTCATGCATTAATTTTGCATAATCCATAATAAATATTTGTGAACTATCAAACATAAAATGTAAATATTGATAGTACTAATTGGTATTAATTAGCAAATAGTTAAGTATACTTTTTAACATTCTTAATGTATTGCTTTCATTGAAAATCACATAAACGGTCCATAAATCGACCCAATAATACTGATAAACCTAACCGTCTACGCTTTGTTACCGTGACAACGGCAAATTGAAAATTGCCATCATTTCAACAACAGTGGAACAGAAAAGCTTTTAAATCACTATAAGTTGGGGTATTATCATTATTATAAAAAAAATGTTCTTTCCACATTACATTCTACCCACTTCTATTCCTTTTAAAATATTGTCTAAACGATCAAGTATTTTGATTATTTTAAAATAACTAAACAAACATTTTTTTATTTTTGAATTTATTATTCTTTTTATCTTTGATACGGTTTTCTTAAGTTTTACGAAAATTTTAACTACGTACAAAATGATCCGATCAAATCAATACTAAAAATATTTGATATTTAATATCTAATAGATTAAACCGATACATCAAGCTTGTATTCAAAATTTAAAGATTATATTAATGTTTTTTTTCTTCATTATTTTACTTTACAATAGGACGAGAACAGCATTGTTAGCAATATAAATGATCTCAAAGAAGCCAATTACTGAGGGACTCCATCAAAAGAAAACTCTGCTAGTGACACATGACAAGAGTTTCGCAAATTTAACATTTGTCCTAATCTATTATAAGTGGCATACATAATAAAATAAATAATCAAGAAAAATAACACAATTATTACATTAATATATTCACAAATTTCAATTTTCAAACAACTACTTGTTGAGTTCACATGTATTTAATCATAAAATTGTTTAAATACAATATTATTTTTCTGTATTTGTTTTATATTTCACACATCGATTAAAATAACGCTAAAAAGTCTTTATAATTTATGTAAACTTTACTGCATTCTTATTTAAATCGAAAATATTGATTCGATTATTATAGCTGTCATTTTCAGATATTCCCTTGTACTACTAATCGTTCACAATAAAAAAATATGCTCTTTATAATAATTTGAATTTTTTAATAAAAGATAAATTTCTAAAGAAATTGTGATAAAATATATAGTAAATTTTTTTAATTTTTTAGATGTACTGAACGATGCTGTATTTGATGAAGATCACGATGAAATGGTAGTCGTCAAAGATATTGAAATGTTTAGTATGTGCGAACATCATCTTGTGCCATTTTATGGTAAAGTTTCAATAGGATATTTACCAAAAAACAAAATTTTAGGTTTAAGTAAATTGGCTAGAATTGTGGAAATGTTTAGCAGAAGACTACAAGGTATACTAATTTTGAATACTCTAACAATGCATGGAATTAAAAATTCATATTAATTTAATAAATTATTATCACATCGTTATTTATATTCAAAATTTATGTTGTATAGTTTTGATACGAACACGATAAATAGTGACGTAGCAGTTTGATGAACTCAAATTTTAAGTATTAAACCAAACTTAAACCAAGTCTCATAAAACACATTTCTTATTTTATCTATGTAATTCAAATGTCGATCTAGTTTTATCATTTTGTATTAAAAAATATTTTTAAATCGAACTGCACATGAGAATTATCATTACTCTATTCGTTATATAACTGATATTTAATCAAAATCTTTTATTGAGAGATTTATATTAAAATAAGATATTTTTATTTTAAACAAAAACAGTAATTAATATAAAGCTTCAAATACATTTTTTAACAGTTCAAGAACGTCTAACTAAACAAATCGCTGTTGCTGTAACTCAAGCTATTCAACCAACCGGCGTTGCTGTAGTTATCGAAGGAGTGTAAGTGTTTTCAATTTTGAATTATTTTTGAATCAAAGTTTCTTAACGAAGGTTTGGATGGGTAGTAAATGAAAAAATACGGCTGCGCATTGGCCAAAGACTGCTAGCTAAATTTTATTTTATTGAGTTAAATGTAAACAGAAAATAAATCAGTTTACACTTAATCACAAAATCAATTATTTTATTAAAATATAAATCACCAAACCAATCATGCCTCCCAAATGGCAAGCGATTGAAAAGTTAAAAGACAAGTAAAAAGACTTAAAAAAATTTAACTTCGAATATTGAAAATGAATACAATACAGATTTAGCAAAGTAAAAACAATAAAAGCGTCTGCACAATACAGAAAAGAGTATAGGAAGCGTAAAAAGTTTTTTAACTGTACAGTTGATGTTCAATTCAACGAAGAATTTAATGAATGTAAAAATTATTCTATAAATTCCACCACTCAAAACAACATAGGAAAGGTATAGATTATTCTATAAGTAATCAAACAACTGAAGAGATATTAACCATATCCAATGAATATCAAACGCCACAATATTCAATATACGATCATTGTGATTTGAAATTTATATACATGTTTTGAGCATTTTTAGAATAGTTTTAGATATTCTCGTGGTGTAAAACTCAACCGACATATAGATGATGACCATTGCTTTTATGTTCACATAAAAATGAAATTGTTTCACAAGTTATATTCATGATCTTATTAATAAAAAAAATATAAAAGAATTGTTAACATATTAGATAAATAAACATTCATTCAATATCGATTTAAAATGTATATTGATATTTTAATAATTAGAATGTTGACTGGTCGATAAGCAGGTTTGTTACATTATTTCTAGAGAAATTATGATTTATTATTAAAATAAAAGCTAGATGATGTTTATGAACTTTCTTTTTTTTACCATAACGCACAGATGAGATTCTTCTATGTTGCGCACCCCGCTCGCTTATAGCTAAGAACTATATTATTATTTTTTATAGTTGATTTTAATTAAATATTGCTTTGTTAATTGTTTTTAGCTCAGCCATCCAAACAACGGTTAAGAAGCTTTGCTTCCCTCGTGCGTCAAAAATCAGACCCACCCATTTTATATTTATATGATGTTTGTAAAAAATTACTAAATTTAATTTAGGCACATGTGCATGGTTATGAGAGGAGTACAGAAGATTAACAGCAAAACCGTAACATCGACCATGTTAGGTGTGTTCAGAGATGACCCGAAGACCCGTGAAGAGTTTCTCAATCTAGTGCAGTCTAATTGAAACAACTATTACAATCGGAACATATAATATTCAAAATCTACACGAATAAACAAAATTATACACTCGATATGACGTGCACGTTATTATGTTGCACTTAAAATTTTCCTTTAAATATTTAACTCACTTTATAAACGATATGTGGTGTTTCTAACTGATATAAAATTTACTGCGAGTTCCTTATAATTCTAAATCAATTTTATGTAATCGCTGAGTTTGTCTTTTTCTAACGTTAGACCCCTGGCATGCGTTGGTTTTTTTATATATTTTGCATTGTTATAGAGTATAATTTTCATAATTTGTGTTGGTATGAATTAAGGCTTGTTAAAATTTTGGATTAAATCACTCATTGCAAACATTCCATTGATGCAATAAAACAAAAAGAAGTTATCGAAAAACTATGCTATACTCTCCTCAAGTTCTTATTTTTATACATTTACTTTCTAAACATATATTTTCTTTTTAATGAAAGTTAAAACAGCTTTTAAGAGTCTAAATACCTAACTGTTTATTTTGCGCAAATCCATAGCAGTATAAAATGTTTTTAATTTCGAATTAACTACTTGTTTTGTGCACGGTATGGTTGTACTAAGCATTTAATATATAATAAAGACTTTATTATTAATATATTTGTTAAAATAATTCATGTTATTAAATAAATATATGATATATTTATCGTACGTTAATAAATATGTTGAAATTTAAGTCCTACTTTTATTTTTTGTGTGAATTCTAAATAAGAAATATAAATATTATTAATTGTTTTAGCTTCTTAATACATATATATAAATATATGGCAGAAAAAGTCCATAAAATTAATCATATTCGAAAAAATAAATTAATGCCATTATGAATAGGTCCATATAAAGTAGTTGAAGTGACAGAGTACAACATTACTGTATCAAAAATATATAAAACAATATATGATAATGATATTAAGTTTTTTAATGAATAACAATATCAAATATTTGTGTATATTTCTCAGTATAATAGTTTAATTTAATTTACTTTGTGTGTTGATAATATTTTTATTTTTGAATAGCGATAGTATTACTAATAAGAATGGCTCAGCTGGTCAAACTTGAATCAGCTTATAAATGAATAGAAATTCGATACTCGTCTGGAATAAATTACGAAAAAACCATCGAGGGTCATTAATAATAATTGGCATAATAGGCCAGTCAACGAAGGAGTAATTTTGGTGAATGGTGGAAAAAATTCCCAACCAAATTGTTTTTTTTTTTTAAAGTTGAATTAAGATATGTTTAATGACATAATAAAAGTCCTCATCAATTGGACTGGAGTTTTTTTTGTACAGCCTCGCAAAAGTTCAAAAATATGAGCTTTTTTCATTTTCTCAAAAAATATTTAACTTACAAAAAAAATTTCGTACAAAAGTTATTTAAAAGACAATTTTAAACAAAAAAGGTATTGTATAGTTTTTCATTTAAACAAATATTTTTCGAGTTACATTACATTTAATATGAGTACTAAAATTTATTTTCCAATTTTTTTCATTTTACGGTTACTTTTTATCATGTTGTAATTACATTAGACACAATGTTATAAATGCATGTGTGTGTATGTGTAAATTTATTTATTTATAGTATCTTTAAAGTGTAGTGTATAATAAGATACAACCGATAGAGTAGGTAATTGATTTGACGCTATATTGTTTAAACCCAACTAAACGCTAAATTATACATTCCCAAACAACAATTATATTATGTCAATTGCCACCGGAATTTCTGCTAAACTTTTTCTTTTTCTTTTTCTTTGCCTTAATCCCAACTACTTGGGGACGGTCACCCTCATCCTAAACTTCCACTTGACACGATCTCCCATATCTTCTACGCTCACATCAGCTGTCCTCATATCGCATTCAATAACATCCCTCAATCTCTTTTTTGGTCTTCCTCTACCTCTTCTTTCTTCAATATTTATTTCTATAACTGTTCTTACAGCTTCCGATTCTTTTCTTCTCATAACATGACAAATTATCTAAGTCTATTTTCTATCAGCTTATCCACGATTGCCGCTACACTTATACTACCTCTTATATGCTCGTTCCTTATTCTATCTTTTTTAGTCGCTCCACTAATCCATCTAAGCATTCTCATCTCTGCTACACTCATTCTCTGCTCTACTTTCTGATCAACCGCCCTCAACACTCTGAACCATACATCATAGCTGGTTTCACTACATTGTTGTAGAATTTACCTTTTAGCCTCATTGGAATTCTTTTATGGTATAAGACACCAGACGCTTCTCTCTACTTCAACTACCCGCACCTAATCCTGTGTCTTACATTCTCGTTAATACCACTGATCTTTTGCACTACTGATCCTAAATACTTAAAACTTTCTACCTTCCCATTCACACTCTCGTCTATTGTCACTGATCTCCTCATTTCATATACCTCATGTTTTCTTTTGTCAACCCAGCCAGAAGATTTGGTAATGATAAAATTAATTGTCATAAAGTGTCTAAAATTGGTCTTGTTCTAGTAAACTCAATGGTGGATAATAACTTTCATGATATAAATCTTAAAAGGTCAAATAAAGTTATAACTGTATCTTCAATAACTTCTATTGTTAAAATGAATAATGAAATAATTAAAGTAAACCCATTGCTACTATTTCAACTGATCGTTATTAAAAAAAAAACCAGCAGTGTCCCGGCACAGTGTGTATAATTGGGTGCAGTATAGATGATATGTGACTGTGATTAAAATCATTATCAAAAAACAACGCCTTGATGCAAATCTGTAGATAGTGTTTAATTTTAAAATTTTAATAGATTATTACAAAAGCTACATGATTTCCTATTTCCTTATTTATATTCTAAATATAAGTTATATGCATTACTAGTGCAAAGTATGTAATCGATGGAAGATTTCTCCACTATAAAGTTATTTGACAAATGTATCAAACAAAATTTTTCTTATTTATTATCCCATTCTAAATTTTGATAGAATAGCCCTGTTCTTCGGCAGGCACAATTTTTACTAACGCCAGCACCTGACTAAAGGCCAATACGTTTTATGATAACTATCTTTATCATTACCAGAAATTCCGGTGGCTATTGACATAATATAATTGTTGTTTGGGAATGTACAATTTAGCGTTTAGTTGGGTTTAATCGATTGTATCTTATTATACACTACACTTTAAAGATACTATAAATAAATAAATTTACACATACACACACATGCATTTATAACATTGTGTCTAATGTAATTACAACATGATAAAAAGTAACCGTAAAATGAAAAAAATTGGAAAATAAATTTTAGTACTCATATTAAATGTAATGTAACTCGAAAAATATTTGTTTAAATGAAAAAATATACAATACCTTTTTTGTTTAAAATTGTCTTTTAAATAACTTTTGTACGAAATTTTTTTTGTAAGTTAAATATTTTTTGAGAAAATGAAAAAAGCTCATATTTTTGAACTTTTGCGAGGCTGTACAAAAAAAAACTCCAGTCCAATTGATGAGGACTTTTATTATGTCATTATACATATCTTAATTCAACTTTAAAAAAAAAATTAATTTGGTTGAGAATTTTTTCCGCCATTCGACAAAATTACTCCTTCGTTGACTGGCCTATAATGTAACTTATGTAAACCAACGAAATATAATAACATAGTAAAAATTATTTTAATGTATTAACCATATGTAAAAATATTATAAGGGAAATTAGTGTATGTTATTGTAATAATATTAACATTACAGTATTTATTTACTGAAGGAAATAGAATATAGAATTGATCATTATTGTAAGACCATAGGTAACAATCCTAATAATACAGATAGACGCAAGAAACGTGGAGTAGTAAATTTTATATGGTACGCTAACTGAAGTAGATGGCGAAAGGTATGATTCGCGCGTTACTGCTTTAGNACCGCAAGAACAAGAGTAATTCTGCTCATCACTACTGAAAACCATAGTAGAATGTTAATTATTATTCGAGAACAGTTAAATATAATAAAACCTTATTTAAAAAATACACCCAAACCTTTACGTTGAATCCGATACATACAGTTAATTAATGGAAGAGTGACGGTTGTAAGAAATCGGATTAATTAAATTGGATTAAAGCTAAATTTAGAACGATATTTAAAGTAAACCTGATAAATTAATTCCAAAATTTTCCAAATATTTATTTCTAAATATTTGCAGATTTAGGTAAGTAAAGATAATAACTGAAAGTGATTTTAATTACTGTCATAAGAATCGCTTCGATGCAAAACTGTAGATGGTATTTACAAAAGCAACATCAACTCCAAAGCTAATATTAACAAAAAATAATCAAAAAGATATAGGTTAAAATTAAATTCAATAGCACAATAATAAACGAAATCATAGGTGAAACTAGGCACGGAATATACTTCTGAATATTTCAATTGTAGCATTTATTTAAACACCAAGAGTTACACAGAAATGATTACTAAGACTTTATTTAATTGATTTATTACAATAAAATATTAAAAAAATAGTGATTTTAACGAAATGTTGAGTTTTCCACATAAATTTACTGTTAATATTAATCATTTAAATTCCTTATCACATAATATTCTAAAAAATACACTTTTTTATTCCTCATAAAATTTTCTATTTAATGATATAAATTCTAAACTTGCATGATGAGCTAACATTCACGGTGAAGTTTTTTTTATTTCAACATTTATTTAAAAGACGCAGTATTTCCAGAACATTTCCAAAAGTTCTATTGGAAAAGGTCTAAGTTTGATACGCATATTTCAAGTTTTGAACTTGCCTTGTAAAAAGGAGAAATTTTTCGATTTAAAAAAAAATTATGTCGAATGAAAGGAGTATACATAATGTATTTAGAAACAGAAATTTGTGTTGATATATACATTTTTCAAAAATTTATAGCATTTTAAAGTTGAAAATCGAAAATTTTAACACAAAAATAGCATTTTTTTCATTGCGAAAGAGGGAAAATTTTTTAATTTTTAAGGGCAATGTCGTCAACTAGATACGATTTGTAATCTTTTGACGTATCTCTGAAAAAAATTGGTCCAGTAAGAGCTGAGAAAAAGTGGCAACCGACAAAAAAAAACGCATCATAGTAAAATTAATACCTCAGCTTCGTATCGAAGCTAATATTGTTTAAATATATAAAATCGATTATGTTTGTATGTATTCAACCAGCCAAACCCAATCTTTGAGTGAATTTCCTGTGTGGTCAATACCAATAAAAATCCTCTTGCAAAGATAGCAAAACCATTTGTGGTTTCTATACTACTCGAAGTATTTATTGACATGACTCATAGTTAGTATAAGCTTAGATAACTATTGATACGAGTGGCGTTATTGATACTTAAAGTATAATAATTAATCACAATAATTTCTATTTCAAACAATTATTATATTATATAATTTATTCAATAAACACATAGTAACTCAAACATTCTCGTGCTTATATAATCCATCCTGAATAATTAATTGATATATTTCATATTGAGTTACTTTAGATGTGAAATATAAAATTAATCTGATTACTCACTAGTGTTAATAATTAAATGTATATTATGTATTTATTGTATTATTATTATGTATATTTAAATAAGTCTGTAAAATAAAAATATTTATTCACAATTAGCAGGATATTTGATACAACGCTAGATAAATAAATTTTGTTATAAATTCAATGACAATTAAATTAATAAATATCTCATTAAGAAAATAAATATTCTACTATATTTTCAATTTGTAAAAACAATTGATTATTTTCCGCAAAATCGATAAATGACTTAACAACATTAAAATCTGAATATGAAAATAACTTTTTTACAGTACGAATAAATAATCTAGTAATATCCAAACTATAAAACTTAACAGTTTCTAGCTCTGTTTCGTTGTGAACTGGTCTATATTTTTCTACTTTTTTAGAAGGAATTTCTTTGCCGTTTAATTCCATTTCTTCTAACGCATTGCACCCTAAATCCAAACATAAAGTATTTAGATATGATTTGAGTAGGTTATCATCAATGTCACGCTGATTGGCAATTGTATTTTTTACCTTATTAACATAATCATGGTCTTTTAAATCAAAGAATGTCACAAAGTCACTAATTATTACTAACCAACAATCAATTAAATCTTTCTTTGTAGATTCATTTTCTTGTTTTTTTACGTATAAGAAATGTTTCCATGTTAACCTTAACATTATGACTTTAAAAAAGCTAAAAACTGAATCGTAGTAAATTTTAATATTTCTCAATTGGTTATTCTTCCAATCGATATTATGTGCATTTTCGTATTTTTCCTGCAATTTCTGTATAAAACTGTCATTAGTTACATCCCAATTAACTTGTACATTGAACGAGGTCATTAGGATATTTGTTTTAAAAGCGTTATCTCCGATATTATGAATTAGAATATTATTTACAGTAAACTTTTCGTAGTCTGTTATAGATAAATCAATATTTTTAAAAATAAATTTGTTCATGATTCTGATTTCTTTTTTCATGCAATTAATTATATCTTTTAATGGTTGATTTTCTAATTGTTTTAATTCATTTTCGTGTACATAAAATTGATTTTTTTCTTCATTGCATTTCATAGCTGATGCTTCAGATTTTAATTCATCTATAACATAATCATGAGTATCTTTAAGATATTCAACTGAGCATCTCATTGAATTTGATTGTAATAATTTATGAACATGACAGCAAACCATACCTAAATAAATGTTTAATAACCACAAAGAACCTATTTCAACACCTTTGAATCCATATAATGTACTCATCATTTTTTTCAAAACTCCAAGATATCTCGAGTTTGAGTGAAATACATCTTTTAATTCTAAATCCGGATGATATATTCCTAATCTAGCTATTTTCATGTAATTTGAAGCATGATATAAATATGAACATTTTAAAAGCTGAACATTTTTTATTGACTTTACTTGATTATCCTTATATCCAGTGTCAAGTGTATTACTACGGTTCACTTGTAATAAAAGAAACACCACAGCTACTTTTTTAATACTCCTTAAATTATTATTTTGAATTAACATCTTAATAAAACAATCAATCATAGGTTTTGTATTCTTAATTATATGGCACTATAAAAAAGAAGTGTAAATTATTGCAAACTACAAATTTTTAGTTTTACACTATTTTATATATGTTATTTACTGTTTATAAATTCAGATATAGAATCTATAATTTATTTCTGTATATTTTAAAAAATGATAGTCTGACTAAAACTGTTAACATTTATTAAATGAAATATTGTTAAAATTTTTTAAATAATGAGCGTTCTAAAAGAGGTGAAAGATAAATTTGCCTATGACAAAAATAATTATGTGGAGGAGATCGTAAATGCCATTTTTTAAATATCTCTAGGATAAATATGTAACTCGTTACTGTGTAATCTAATTATAATAATAATGTTAAAAATTTTTATATTATTATGTTATTTTAAAAAATTAATTTTTACAAAAATTGTTATTTTGAAAAAAAGATGTTTTCTTAATATTTACTCTAAAGTTATTTTTATTCATATTACTTATGATCTACATAATAAACATATTATTCAAATTTTATATTCTATGTAAATGTTCTTTAAATTAATTTTTAAACAATACTATATACGCAAATTAAATTAATATAAAATTAGTACACCGCATAAAAAAGAAGATGATAATATAGATTTAAAATAATGTCATAATTTAAAATTCAATTAAATTAAAAATGTATTTTCGTAAATTTATTTATGTTTAGTATTTTTGATTATAGAGTATTAAAACAGTTCATTTTAGTAAATGAAAAATTTTTACTTCAGAATTTTTTAAAATACTACAGAAATATAATATTATTCAATAAATGTATTATAATTAAATTACATGATAACGGTTTAAACATTTTATAATAATGATATTTAAAAATGGTAGCACAGTATGGACGTGGCATAGATGGGACATGTTTAGATGATATCTGACAGTGATTAAAATCACTATCATAAAAACGCTTCAATGCAAATTTATAGATAGTGTTTAATTCTAAAAAACCCAGCACAGGGGGGTCGCGGCACAGTGGTGACGTGTTATAGATGGATCAAGTATAATGATATCTGACAGTGATTAAAATCACTATAAAAAAAAAACGCTTCGATGCAAATCTTTAGATACTGTTTAATTTTAAAAAATTGGTGGACTATTCCAAAAGCTACATTATCTGCTAGTTCATTATTAATATCCTAATTAAGATAAAGTATGTAGAATGAAAAAGGGATTATTAAAAAATATTATTTCTCATAAAAAAATAATGTTGATCCATACACTTTTCAATATGTCATAGCATTATAAAGTTAAAAAT